CCCACACACACACACACACACACACACACACACACACACACACACACACAGAGTCACTACAGACGTACCGACACCGTAGCTTGTGATTGCAACATGGTGAGCTCTTTTGGGCCTAATTAAAGGTGATGTGTCACTTTTTCAATGTTACAGTACTTCTATTCGAGCGTAAGATGCAGAGACGCAGATTCACTGTCACAGTGGTGCTGTCAAAGTCTTGCTCTGTTCATTTGAGCATCCTGGCCAGCACGATACAGGAACATTAGCTTAACCAATTACGTGTGTTTGAGGCAGGATTTTTTTTTTTATTGAAATCACAAACTTTAGCTTTAGGAACTGCTAGTAATTACTGTTATTAAAAGTTCAGAATATTCTTAAAAAAGAAATGCTTAAAGAAAAACTGTAACACTTTATGGTAAGCTCAACATTAGTTAATGCACTAGTTGTCACAACTCATTGAACAACACTTTTGACAACATTTACTACTCTAGGGTAATGTAATTTGTAAATATACTATCGTATATTGTTAAAATGTACTATTGTTAAAAATGTACTTGTATACACTACAGTTCAAATGTTAGTAAGATAAGTAAGGGTTTTTGTTTCTTCTTTTAATTTAATTTTTGAAAGAAGTATTTTATGCTCAGCAAGGTTGCATTTATTGGATTACAAATACAGTAATATTGTGAAATAATGTTACAATTTAAAATACCTCTTTTCTATTTGATGGCATAGCTGAATTTTCAGCATCATTACTCCAGTCTTCAGTGTCACATGATCCTTCAGAAACTATTCTTATGAGCAATTCATTCTTATTTCTGGAAATGGTGATACTTTTTTAGATTCAAGAAAACAGCATTTATTTGAAACAGAAATCTTTTGTAACATTATAAATGTATTTTCTGTCCCTTTTGATCAATTTAATGCATCCTTGATGAATAATCATAAGTATTCATTTCTTTCTGACCCCAAACTTTTGAATGGTAGGGAATGTAAAACTACCCTAATTAATAAATGCTGTAAATGTATTGTGAATTGTTAGCTCACGATAACTAACACATTAAGAAATGTTAACAAATTCAACCTTAATGTAAAGTGTCAACAGAAAAACTAACGTTTGAGATTAAAATTCTGGGTTTGCCTTAAGAATTATTATTTTTTTTCTTTCAGATTTTTGTGTTTGACTCACAGCTGATCAGCAGGGTTTGGTATTTATTTGTAGCCCATCTAAAGAAAAATCAGTTTTATGTTCTTTTCAGTCCTGTTGATCTGATCTGGCCATTTGTGTTCATTTCGCTTTCATTTTCCCAAAACAAAACACTCGCAGGCAATTGTAAACATGCATCTGAAGCAGAGCAGTTTATGGGAGATTGTTGTTATGTCCATTAGCTGAATTGGCAGAGCTGTGAGCTGTGGGAGTCTGTTCTGACAACTCAGGTTATGTGTAATGTGTTGCAGGAGACAGCCACCGGCGGTGCCCACTCAACAGCCACACTGAGACACAAATGCCCACCTGTGAGAGAAAAAGCGCCAACGACAAGATCTGCTTGAATTGTCATTAAGAGGACAGCAAAGATTCACATCTTAGACACAGTGGAAAACTATCAAAACAGATTTGGAGGTAGCAAAACTCTTTTTGCTCACTGATTCTGCTTTCGGTGGTGAAATTGAGCACTGTGCTGAGGTTTGTTCCCGTTTTGTACATATGTTGATGTTTGCAATGTGAGTGAGTTCCATTCAGCTCTTTATCACGCTTAAATAAAAAGCATTTTGGGATTTTGTAAATACCGTGTGCTTAAGAAGTCCAACATTTTCCTGTGGTTATTGGTGTTTACTAAAGCAAGCATCACTGTTATAATTGCTCATGTCTAGTGTTAGTTATCTGAACCAACCCCTAATCCCAGGTTTAACCCGTCAGCATGTAATTTCTCACACTGGTTGTGCTAGGAATGCAATTTGTAATCATTTGCAATCATGCAGCTAGTAAAGGAACCACCCACAATAACCAAGCATTGTAGCGAGTTTCCAGCGCCACTCTCGTTTTCTTCAGAAAATCTGAAAAAAAGCAAATATTAATCTTATTTTGCCAAACATTATAACTTCATTTATAAGAATTTACACAATTTCATTTTACACAACAGACGCTCTGATAGATTTTGCACAGAATGCTTTAATTTGGCAACTTCATTGTAATGTCACACAGACTGTTCATATAAGCTCTTATTCTGTCAGTTATAAATGACGCGACAGAAAAGCCAACGAAGACTTTTGTTCTATCAACTGAACACTGGCAGAAATGCCGTTCTACATGAACAACAGTTACTGCTGCAGAAATACCTGGGACTGACTGACATCTTGTGGGCAACAGCTTGTCAAGAACAGTTTCAACCCTTTTCTATCACCTCCATTCAAATAAAAATAAAATATTTATATGCATATCATAGTTAAAAACAACTATTATTTCCAGTACAGTGACCATGTTAAAAGCATTATTAAAAACATTGACAAGCATTTAAACGTTTTAATCAAGCAATTCAAGAATATGCACATTTATATAAATACTGTTAAAACGAACTCCCTACTCCCATATAAATGATTTGAATATCACAAAACATGTCTGGATCATACCCCAAAATCAAAATTATATCTATATCTATTTTCAGGGCTTCATTTTATTTCAAGCATGACCTGGACATGTTTTCATGAGGTTCACCCATTTAATAGTTTAGTTGTATTTTATATTGGCAAAATGAAATGTAATTTCCCAGTAACCATTCTTATTCTTCCCTGAGCTTAAAGGCATAGCTTACCAAAAAAAAAAAAAATGTAATTCTGTCATCATTTACTCACACTCTTGTTTTTTTCCAACCTGTATGACTTTCTTCTGCAGAACACAAAATAATATATTTTAAGAAATGTCTCAGTGTTTTTTGTCCATACAATGGAAGCCAATGGTAACCAAAACTGTTACCAATTTTCTTCAAAACATTTTCTTTCATGTTCCACAGAAGAAAGGAAAACGCACAGGTTCAGGGGAGTAAATGATGACAGATTTTTCATTTTTAGGTGAACTATCCATTTAGGAAAAGTGTAAAAGATTCTCAAAACCATCCCACCAAAGGGAGTCTATCAAAAGCATAATTTAAAACGGTCTTAAAACCCTGTAGGCAGTTTCAATTCAGGAAGCGGGATAGGTCCTCTCTAATCTCTGCCTCGTCCCAAGGACCGTGGATGTTGTCCTTGTGCCTCTGCAGGTGAACCAGTAACAGTGGACAGAGTAAAGTTAATGTTAACAGAGCCAATGAGAGGAGAAGAGCCCCCTCGGGCCACAGGCTACCCAGACCCCCGACTCCAGCCAGACACACCAGCACCGCTGCCCACGGGAAGCTCCACTCCGCCTTCTCCCGCATGCGGTGCAACAGGCAGGGCCAGAGCGCGAACACCAGGAGGGCACAGCTCAGCATGGTGAAGGTATGCAGGGCACCGGGCAGCCGGGACGCCAGGCACACCGACGCGAAAAGGGCCGCGTTGAGGGAAAGACTGCCCGGCGGACTGGGCTGAGCATACGGGAAGGACACCAAGTGAGCCAGGAGCATCATGGCTGACATGGCGTAAACAGTATCTGTACTAACCGACTCAGTTAGAGTCTTTAAAACAGGTGAAAACCCGAAAGTAAATGCCAGGAAGATGGTTGCGCTCTGCAGGTCCGCCAGGCGCGTTCGCTCCCGACCACAAGCGCCTCCCAGGATCTCATAGAGTCCGTATCCCAACAGAGCACAGCCCAGACAGACCCAGAGCACCGTGGACGGCACCAGGTCTCCCTGCTCCATACAAGACCATAATGTGAGAAAGACGGCCACACAGGACACCTGCTGTGCGATGAGCCCCGTCTCACGCACCACTGCCCAGTAACGGTACTGACGGACTCGGATGTTGCGCCGCAGCTCCTCCAGAAAGCGTCGGTCCACATAATTGTCTGGAAAGGGCTGGCGTTCATATAGGACTTTACGCCATGGGACGGCTGCAGGAGCTCCCGGACCACTGTCTGCCCCCATCACCTGTCAAAACTGGCAATACACAACCCATCATCACTACTTACATCAATATATTTGCAGAAAAAGTAAGAAAAAATGTAGAGTTTTAAGCCATTACTTTAATGAGCTACTTTAAGTATTGAAATAAAGTCTTAAATGTCACAAAACTTGGAGCAACAAATCTACATTATTAGCTATAATCGAAATATTACACAGAAATTCCGCCACTTTGCTCAGCTCTACTTATTTTTTTAACTTTATTAAACATCTTCAAATAACATTATTAAAAACAAACAATAAATCATACGCAGAGAGAGAGAAATGTATATCAATAAATACATATATTTTTAGAAAAGATTTTACAAAAAGTAAAATATATAAAAGCAAATTATAAATTAAACTTAAAGGTATATATATATATATATATATATGGTAAGTAATTTACACTTTTAAGGCATTCCTTTTTAAGGATTTAAATAATTTCCAGATCATGTTTAAATGCCACAAAACTTGTAGCAAATTTAAGAAATTCACATTTTGTGTAAATCAAACTCAGCAATAATCAACATTGTATTACATTAATATTCAATCTCTCTGTCGGGCTCTAGTCTGCCTGAGACTTGACAGCTTCTGAATTCAATCTGAATCTGATCGAGAGATGCTACTCTCGTTCGGCCGATCAGACACCAGCGGACGCAGTGCGTATGGAGACAAACTATGTTCATTCATATTGAACACACAAAAGGTTTTAAACCCACATAAATGTAATAGCTTACCGACACAGCAGGGTTTTCTCACTTTACCCACTGCTGTCACGCCATCTCACACCCGGAAGTGACGAACCACAAAAACAAAAGTGCGATGGTAGCGCCTTCTGCGGACTTTCCCTCAACCTCCAGCGAATGAAGGGTCGTTCGAACCATAGACGTAATAAATAAGTATTTATTATGTCTATGGGTCGAACCACGAGATTGCAATATCGTCGGCATCTCGTAAAATCTTGAGATTTTAAGTGTGTGAAAAGTTTTGTTCTTGGTCACAGTTGTAACCGGTGGGACTTACTCAGGCCAGGGGTTCTCAAACTGGGTCCCTGAAAGTACTGAGAGATTTTTGTTCACTTATTTACAAAAACTTTCAAAGTTAATGTGTGCACTTAAAATATGTTAAACATTTACAAAATTTAATTATTTCATTCTGCTTTCTAAAGACTAGTCAGAAATATTGCTAAAATGTAATCATTTTAAATAGAATTTATTATTATTATATTTTTGTTACTCTCCATTTACGTTGTCAACCTAATTACATTTCCAGAAAATATTTTAACAATTTGTTTTAGTAAGATTACAACGTAAAAGTCAAATATTTCATTTTGGAAACAAATCTTTGATTTGGTTGTCTTAATGATATTATATTTAATGATTTTTCCCCCCCACACAGTAGCCATTAATGGATTTTAAAAAATTAATTACAATATATAAATTGTACTTAAACGTGTGACAGATGCATTTACTCCAGAACCAGGCCTTTAAACACACAATGTGAACAAAATCACTCAAATTAAACAGAAAAGAGCACACGATATAAATGAAGTTTTCCTTGATTCTGATTGTGAAACAAAAGGATATTCTACGGTGACCGAGAAGTGCTAAAGAAATCACAATTCTGAAAACAAAATAACAAATTACAAACGCAAATGCAAGTCTAAAAAACAAAATAACAATTCACAAAACACAACAACAATTCAGAAAACATTATAACAAGTCAGAAAACACAATGACAAATTCGAAAACAAAATAACAAGTCAGAAAACACAACGACAAATCAGACAAATCAGACAAACCGGCATTGGTTTGGGATTGGTTCTTCCTGTATACGTTGATTGACAGATGTCTCGTCCAGTCAGCGGTGAGTAATCCCAAACCAATGGCGCTGTCTCAAACTATACCTACCTCTTCCGGTTTGTCTGATTTGTCGTTGTGTTTTCTGACTTGTTAATTTGTTTTCTGAATTGTTGTTGTGTTTTGTGAATTGTTATTTTGTTTTTTAGACTTGCATTTGCGTTTGTAATTTGTTATTTTGTTTTCAGAATTGTGATTTGTTTTGCACTTCACGGCCACCGTAATATACACATATGATCATTTATTAAGTCCAAAAATGGATAAGCTAAGTCTTAAAACAGAGAGAGAGAGAATCATATTCCTTCACTCAAAGGAAAACTAGTTGAAAATTGACAGTTGGCAGTGCTAAAAGTCTCCAGTGGGTGGCGAAATAAGATTAGAAATTCGATAAGAAATCCAATTCAAGTTTTCTGTGGAATTCAAAACACATTTAAGATAATCAAACATAAATCTGCATGATTTATAGTGGTGTTTTAATCAACTAGGAGGTAAAAAATGCATAGGAAAAAAGTAAAACCGCCCTTTATTAGATATACTAAAAAGCAGTGCAACTCTAATAAAGACACAATTAAATTTAAAGCACAAAAGAGAGTGACTGAATCAAAAACGAGCAGTAAACTTCATTTATTAGCACAGTGAGAGCCGCTTCCCACAGGACCAGTGGCTCTCAGTGGAAGATGGTTGTAGTAGTAACAACAGAAAT